CTGATCTTATTGATTTGCAAATTCTTTCTCTGCCGTTTGATTAGTTTGGATAGGGGTTTGTCAATCTTGTTGATTTTCTCCAGAAACCAGCTTTTTGTTTCATTGATTCTTTGGATTGTTTTCTGTGTTTCTATTTTGTTGATTTCAGCCCTCAGTTTGATTATTTCCAGTCTTCTCCTCCTCCTAGGTGAGTCTGCTTCTTTTTTTTCTAGAGCTTTCAGTTGGGCTGTTAAGTCTCCAATGTGAGCTTTCTCTGTTTTCTTTAAGTGGGCACTTAGTGCTATGAACTTTCCTCTTAGGACTGCTTTCATAGTGTCCCATAAGTTTAAGTATGTTGTTTCTTTATTTTCATTGAATTCCAGGAAGACTTTAATTTCTTTCTTAATTTCTTCCTTAATCCAGGTATGGTTCAGTAGTTGACTGTTCAGTTTCCATGAGTTTGTAGGCTTTTTGGGGGTAGCATTGTTGTTGAATTCTAACTTTAATCCATGGTGATCTGATAAGACACAGGTGGTTACTAATATTTTTTTGTAACTGTGGATGTTTGCTTTGTTACCGACTTTAGTGGTCGATTTTTGAGAAGGTTCCATGAGCTGCAGAGAAGAAGGTATATTCTTTCCTATTTGGGTGGAATGTTCTATAGATGTCTGTTAAGTCCATTTGATTCATTACCTCCATTAATTCTCTTATTTCTCTGTTAGGTTTCTGTCTGATTGACCTGTCCATTGGTGAGAGAGGAGTGTTGAAGTCTCCTACTATTAGTGTATGCGGTTTGATGGCTGCCTTGAGTTTTAGCAATGTTTCTTTTATGTACATGGGTGCTTTTAAATTAGGGGCATAGATGTTCAGAATTGAGACTTCATCCTGCTGAACTGTTCCTGTTATGAGTATAAAATGCCCCTCTCCATCTCTTCTGATTGATTTAAGTTTGAAGTCAACTTTGTTAGAGATTAGTATGGCCACACCTGCTTGTTTCTTAGGTCCATTTGCTTGATAAGCCTTTTCCCAGCCCATTACTCTGAGTAGGTGCCTGTCTTTGTGGTTGAGGTGTGTTTCTTGTAAACAGCAGAATGTTGGATCCTGTTTTCGTATCCAATCTCTTAGCCTGTGCCTTTTAATAGGTGAGTTGAGTCCATTGACATTAAGTGATATTAATGACCAGTGGATGTTAACTCCGGTCATTTTTTTAGTCGTAGAGTTTGTGTGTTTCCCTTCTTTGATTTGTGTTGGTGAAGGTCTCTAGATGTCTGAGTTATTGTGGTCATTGTTGGGCTCCTTGGTTAGTGATTTTCCTTCTATCACTTTCTGTAAGGCTGGATTTGTGGCTGCGTATTGTTTAAATTTGTTTTCATCCTGGAAAATTTTATTTTCTCCATTTATAGTGAACGAAAGCTTGGCTGGGTATAGTAATCTGGGCTTGCATCCATGGTCTCTTAGTTTTTGAAGTTCATCTATCCAGGACCTTCTGGCTTTCATGGTTTCCATGGAGAAGTCAGGTGTAAGTCTGATAGGTTTACCTTTATAAGTAATTTGGCCTTTTTCCTTTGCAGATCTTAATATTCTTTCCTTATTCTGTATGCTTTGTGTTTTGATAATTATATGGCGAGGGGATGTTCTTTTTTGATCCAGCCTATATGGTGTTCTGTATGCTTCTTGAACCTTCATAGGTATATCCTTCTTTAGGTTGGGAAAGTTTTCTTCTATAATTTTATTAAATATATTTTCTGGACCATTGAGCTGCACTTCTTCTCCTTCTTCTACTCCTATTATTCTTAGGTTTGGTCTTTTTTTGTGTCCCATATTTCCTGAATATTTTGTGATGAGAGTTTGTTGGACTTGCTGTTTTCTTTGATCAGAGTGTTTATTTTCTCTATGGTATCTTCAGAATCTGAGATTCTTTCTTCTATCTCTTGTATTCTGTTGGTTATGCTTGTTTCTGTAGACTCTGTTTGTTTACTTAAATTTTCCATGTCCAGTCGGCCCTCTGTTTGTGTTTTCTTCTTTGCCTCCATTTCAGTTTTCAAGTCTTGCACCGTTTCCATTATCTGTTTGATTGTTTTTCCATGGTTTTCTAGGGTATCATTCACTGATTTATTCAGTTCTTCAAACTTTCTGTTATATTTCTCATCCATTTCTATAAGGGCATTTTTTACATGCTGTTTAAGGGCGTCAATCACTTTCATGAAGTCAACCTTTTCTACTTCTTCTTGATTAAGGTGTTCATGTCCTCCCGTTGTGGGGTCGCTCGTTTCTGGTGGCTTCATGTTGCTTTTCAGCTTGTTGGGCGAATTCTTGCCTTGGCGTCTACCCATCTCTTCTTCCAAATGCTCCCTTATGGATCTTCTTTACCGGATCAGGTCTCCTTGCCTACCCAATGCTGGATCTCCCCAACGTTGTCTCTCCCCAACGCTGGGTCTCCCCAAGGCTGCGTCTCCTGGCGCCGAGAGATCAGGCCTCCGTGCTGATGGGCAGGTGGCAAAGCGCCTACCCTGCTTGGTGCAGGCAGGCCAAAGAAACAAAGGAACTCCCGCCTGCTTGGGTGCCCTGAGGATTCGGACCCAGTGCCCAGACAGGCTGGGCTGGGTGATGTTATGTGCAGAAAGAGGGCGGTGGGGCAAATTGGGGAGGGTTCTGGATGGAAGCTGGGTGGGCTAGGAAGAAAGAGGAGGTATGCAGGGAGTGGGGGCCCTGCCGAGAGCTCAAGAAGGATAGGGGGCCAAGGAACCTCTGAACTCCCCTTCCCGGGCTGGCGCCGTGGGGCCAGAAACTCACCCCAACGCTGGGTCTCCTGGCGCCTAGAGATCAGGCCTCCGTGCTGGTGGGCAGGTCGCAAACAAAGCGCCTACCCTGCTTGGTGCAGGCAGGCCATAGAAACAAAGAGACTCCCGCCCGCTTGGGTGCCCCGATGATTCGGACCCAGTGCCCAGTCTGGCTGGGCTGGGTGATGTTATTTGCAGAAAGAGGACAGTGGGGCCGAGGTGGGGAGGGTTCTGGATGGGAGCTGGGTGGGCTAGGAAGAAAGAGGAGGTATGCAGGGAGTGGGGGCCCTGCCGAGAGCTCAAGAAGGATAGGGGGCCAAGGAACCTCTGAACTCCCCTTCCCGGGCTGGCGCCGCAGGGTCAGAAACTCACCCCAACGCTGAGTCTCCTGGCGCCGAGAGATCAGCAAGGCAATTCTTATAAGATAAAGCATTTAAATTAGGGGCTTCCTTAAAGTTTTAAAGGCTTAGTCTATTATCATCATGTTGGGGAGCATGGTAGCATACAGGCAGGCACTGGAACAATTACTGAGAATTACATCATCCATAGCTACATCATTCATAGGCAGAGAGAGAGAAACAGAAACAGACTGGACTTGGCATGGGCTTTTAAAATTTCAAAGTCCACCCTCAGTGACTCCAACAAGGCTACACCTACTCCATTCCAACATGGACACTCCTCCTAATCCTTGTAATCCGTTCAAACAGTTTCACTCCCTGGCAACTATGTTTTCAAATATGTAAGCCTTTGAAGGCTGTCCTTATTCAAACTACCACAGTGATAGTTGTGAGCTACCTTGTGGGTGATGAGAGTCAAACCTAGGTCCTCTGAAAGAGCAACAAATACTTTTAGGTGTTTAGCCATCTCTCTAGCCCAAATTCATTCATTTCTCTTTTTTTGTCTCTTTTTTTTTACCCTTTGGAGCTGAGAAATAAACCCAGAGCCTTGTGCTTACTAGGCAATTGCTCTACCACTGAGTTAAACTCCCAATCCCTTTCTTTTCCTTTCTTCTTTTTTTTTTTAAAGAAAAACCTTGTAACATTTATTTATTGCATGTGTATGTTTATTCATGAGTGTGGTGGTCAGAAGGCAATTTTGGGGAGCCAGTTCTCCTTCTACCATGTCTATTCTGGGACTGGAACGCAGGTTATCAGATTTGGTGCCCTGCTGGGTCATCTCACCAGCTCTCAGTTCTTTCTTTTTTGATTGTTCTTTTTTTATGTAGTCTAGGCTAACATTGGACTTTCTGTTTGGCTGAGTATGATCTTGAACTTCTGTTCTTCCTGTCCTTACTTCTCAAGTGTTCTGGTCATGGGTGTGTGCCACCTTGCTTGGTTCTATGTGGTGCTGCTGGTAGTCAAACCCAAGGTCCTCACGTACGCTAAGCAGGCAGTCTGCCAAATGAGTTATATATCTAGCTGTCTTGCTTTCCCTTCTGTTCCTGTGATAAAATACCCAGCTTAGGGGGAAAGAGGTTTTTTTTTTTAACTTAGGGTTCTTGGTTACATTCTAGTCTTTTGGGAGGTTAAGGCTGAAGGAATTTGAAGCAGCTAGTCACATCACATTCACACTCAAGAACACAGAGAAATGGGGTAATACATGTACATGCCGACTGCTTAGCTCCCTTGTCTATGGTCTAGGGCCAAAATCCAGAGAATAGTGCCACTCAGTTTTAGGCTGGATCTTTTTTATGTCAGTTAAGGAAATTAAGAAATTCCAAGCCAGAAGGCGTGGCATATGTCTTTAATCTCATCACTCAGTAGCCAGAGGCAGGTGGGTCTCTGTGAATTTGGGATCAGTCCTGGTCTACATAGTGATTTCAAAGCTAGCCAGGGCTGCATAGTGAGATCTTTGTTTTAAAAAAAAAAGAAAAGAAAAAAAAGAAACCCTGACAGACATGCTCAAAGGCCAGTTTGGTTTAGGCAATTATCATTTGAAACTCTTCTCCCGAGGTGAATATAGATTGTATCAAGTTGACAGTTAAAACTAAACATCACTGCTCCCTCCCTCCCTTTTGCTCTCCTTCCCTCCCTTCCTTTCTGAAGTTGTATTTTGCTGTATAGCTGAGACTGGTCTTGAATTTATTATGGTCCTCTTGCATCACTTCCTGGGATGCTGGAATTAGGCCTGTTCTCTAACACGTAGCTTTCTTGATTTTTCTTATTTCACTATAAACTGTTTCTTGAGTTTTGTCTTATTCCAGTGGTGTATTAAGAAAGATGTTTTATTTTCATTGATCAGGTCCTCTGTATCCATGATGTTTCTTCCATCTACCGAGTGCCTCTTCTTTTGGAGGAGCAAGGCGTGGTTAAATATTTTAAAGAGAGATTGAACCTGCCCATCAGTGACTGTTCAAGTAATTTGCTTTACAAGTGGAAAGCCATGACTGACAGGTATGTGAGATGAATTATTTATGTATAAAATTTTTTAACATAGCTAGAACTTGTAAAAAAAACTTCTCCCAGTTTGTTCCAGACTTTCTCAGTCTTTATAAATACATAGGAAATTAGGACTGCAAGATTACAGATAAAAAAAAGGATTACAGATAAACATACTACAGCCTCTGGCTTTATATGGGTTTGGACTGAGTTCTCATGCTTTTGTGGCAAGTTCTCTACTAACTGAGCTATCACCTTGGCCTCTTTACGCAATTTTTTAATAATTCTTGGCCTTGTAGGTGGAAGTAAAACCTACTTCAAAGGGCCAGTCTGCCTTCTTTACCTTTTTGTATGTGTATGTTCTGGTGTAGCTATATCTAAATTTGTTGTTAGAGTCTTTCTCTGTGTTCTTTGAAGATTTTTGTAGCCATTGTCTTTGTTGTACTTAAACCCAAATGAGTTAAAGGGATTTGGATTCCCAAAGGAATATATATATATATATATATATATATATATATATATATAGACTAGGCTGGCCTTGAACTCACAGAGATCTGTCTCTCTCAGCCTTCTAAGTGCTGGGATTAAAGGTGTGTGTTACCACTGTCCAGCTCAAAGGAATATTTTTAATTCTGGATGTTTGATTAATACGTTAATTTACTTTTTATTTACTCCACTTTTTTCTTTTTGTCAGTCCTGGGGCCAGAACTTGTGCATGTTAGGCAAGTGCTCTTTGCTGAGCCCTATCCCTAGCCTAATTTATGCTTGTAAGTGTTGCAGAGTTTTTGTTTCATTTAAGATTTGGCTAACATTTCCTAAAGAAGGTCCTTTAAATGGGAAGCTTGACTCTACATTTAGCACTCCATCTGAAAGTGGTTTGTTTGTTTGGTTTTGGCATAGTCTCCTGCAGCCCATACTGGCCTTGAACTTCTACTCCACCTCCAGATTGCTGAGGTTGTACATATGTACCCACCACCGTTCACAGCACCCATCCAGTACTTACATATCTTAAAAAACACTTATTTCCAAATCACATTCATTTATTTTGTGCACATGCACACATACACACCAGTTAAAAGACAACTTTACAGGAGTCTATACTCGTTCCTTCCTCCAGATCATTTTTATAAGTTTTTTTTTATTTTTTTTCCCAAGACAGTGTTTCTCTTTGTAGCCCTGACTGTCCTGGAACTCGTTCTATAGACCAGGGCAGACTCAAATTTGTAGGTCTGCCTGCCACTGTCATCTGAGTTCTGGGATTAAAAGTGTGTGCCTCTACACTCAGTTTATAAGGTTCTTAGGGAATTAAGGGCATGTGCCTTCATGACCAGAGAATTTTTTTCCTCCCTTTAAGGATTGAACCCAGGGCTTCAAGCATACAAGCCTTAATGTGTGAGCTACATCTCCAGCCTAGTGGAGAACCATTCATTTCACCACAGTCTTCCAAATAAACGGAGATGGCAGTGCCTATATCATTTTGGATTGTTGGTTTATTGGTAACTGCAATGTATAATGGCCAACCCCGCTGTGGTCTGTAGAATGTGTAAGGAGTCAGTGAGAGGGCAGAGCAGCTGCTCTGATGATGGATGTTCACTGCCACTCAGACACCAGCGGTCCTAGTTAAAGTGGATATGATATGGTCCTTTCCTGGGACCCCAGGCTGAAATGAGATACCCTTTCCCACTTTGGGACCTGCCCATGATGGGTGGGCCTGTAAAGTAGACTCTGCTTCCCATTTCCCAGAAGCCTGCCTCACACATCTGTGATAGCTGTGTTAATCATGTGAGAGGGACCTTTGGTTGATCTGGGAAGGGAAAGTGAGTATAAGGGACAGACTTAGTATATCAGCCAGCCAGCACAGCAGGCCTCACCCTGGGGTGTTTGGCTCATGCGCTCATCTGTTCCATCTATCACCATGGGATTTCTGTCAAGGAAGTTTGGACATGAGTGAATAGAAGGAGGAGCCTGTAATTGTCTTTAGCGTGCCTTCTTTTGGGTCAGAGCCATGTCCTTCAGCTTTCTGCAGAGAAAAAGTGAGACCCGGCCAACTCTTTTGCACACTGGCAGCTGCTAAGTAGGTAGACCACACCTTAGGACAAAATATCTACTTCTGGTGGCATCTCTCATATTTGGCTTGAGATTAACTTGCTTTCTGTTATCAGGAATTCATCAGCATCATTATAATCATTATCAACATCATCATTTTGTAATACTGGGGAATGAACCCAGGGCTTAATGCATGCTAGGTAACTGCTTTACCATTTCTGGACATACACAACTGTGAATTCTACAGAGCAAGATAAAACTAAGCAGCGTTAAAGGCTTGATAATGTTGGAGGACAAACTGCTTGTTTGGTTCCCAGCTGCCTGACTAGCATAGACCAAAAATAATCACACAGAAACTGTATTATATAAAACACTGCTTGGCCTGTTAGCTCTAGCTTCTTATTGGCTAACTCTTACATATTAATTCTACCCATTTTTATTAATCTGTGTATCGCCACATGGCAGTGGCTTACTGGCAAAGTTTCAGTATGTCTGCCTGACTCTGGCTGCAGCTCCATGGCAGCTCTCTGACTCTACCCTTCTTCCTCCCAGCATTCAGCCTAGCTTTCCCTGCCTACTTAAGTTCTGCCTTGCTATAGGTCCAAAGCAGGTTTTTTGTTCATTAATGGTAATCACAGCACACAGAGGGGACTCCCACATCATGACAACTTTCCCTCAGTTTTTTTTATTTATTAATCTTCCTGGGAAGTCTTACCTTTCCCGTTACTTTTAGTCTCTAAGTTTTTTCCTCCACCCAGCTTAGTTTTCGATTTTGTGTTTTTATTTATTTTATCTGTATGTTTTTGTGGCAGTGTATCACTGTGTTTAGCTGACTAGCTTGGAAGTCAAGATGTAGACCAGAGATGCCTCAAACTTGTAGTGATCTCTGCCTGCCTTTGCCTCTTGTGTGTTACCACATCTGGCTTATTTTTTATTTTCGAGGTATGATCTCATGTTTCCCAGGCTGTCCTTGAACTCACTGTGAGGCTGAGGATGATCGTGAACTTCTGATCTTGATTTAATTTTGGTATGTGGTACCTATCCAGAAAATTGTTCATTTTCTTTTAATTTTCCAATTTTGGTTAGTACAGGTTTTTGATGATATAGGCACTTAATGCTATGAATTTTTCTCTTAGTTCTGCTTTCAAAGTGTCCATAAATTTGGGTATGTTGTATATTCATTTTCATTGAATTCTAGGACGTCTTTAATTTCTTGCTATTTCTTTCTTGACATAGGGGTGATCCAGCTGAGTGTTGTTCAATTTTCATTAGTTTGTGGGGTTTCTGCAATTAGTGTTGTTGCGGAATTCTAACTTTAAGCCATGGTGATCTTATACAGGGGTTACTCCAATTTTTTTGTATCTGTTGAGGTTTGCTTTGTGACCAAGTATGTGATCAATTCTAGAGACAGTTCCATGATGTTCTGAGATGAAGGTATATTTTGTTGTGTTTCAGGGGAATGTTCTATAGATGTCTGTTAAACCCTTTGAGTCATAACTTCTGTTAGTTCCTTTATTTCTCTGTTATGTTTCTGTCTGACAATCCTGTTCATTGGGGAGAGTGGGGATATTGAAGTCTTCCACTATTAGTGTGTGTGGGTTGATGTATGATTTAAGCTTTAGTAATGTTTCTTTTACAAATGTTGGTGCCCTTGTTTTGGGGGTCATAGATGTTTAAAATTAAGACTTCATCATAATGGATTTTTCCTGTGATGAATATGAAATGTCCTTCATCTCTTTTGATTGATTTTTAGTTTGAAGTCTATTTTGTTAGATATTAGGATAGCTACACCAGCTTGTTTCTTAGGTCCATTTATGGAAAATCTTTTCCCAACCCTTTACTCTGAGGCAATGTCTGTCATTGAAGTTGAGGTGTGTTTCTTGTAAGCAGTAGAAGAATGGATCCTGTTTTTGTAACCATTCTGTAAGTCTGTGTCTTTTTATAGATAAATTGAGACTGTTGATATGAAGAGATATTAATGACCAATGATTGTTAATTCCTGTTATTTTTGGTTTTGTTGTTGTTGTTGGTATTGTATGTATGTTTCCCTTCTTTGGGGTTTGCTATTGTGTGGTTATCTATTGCCTGTGTTCTTGTGGGTGTAGCTAACTTCCTTGGGTTGGAGTTTTCCTTCTAGTACTTTTTGTAGGGTTGGGTTTGTAGATAGGTATTGTTTAAATATGGTTTTGCCATGGAACATCTTGTTTTCTACATCTATGGTGATTGAAAGCTTTGCTGGGTATAGTAGTCTGGGTTTGCATCTGTGGTCTCTTAGTGTCTGCAGCACATCTGTCCAGGACTTCCTGGCCTTCAGAGTTTCCATTGAGAAGTCAGGTGTAATTCTGATATGTATGCCTTTATATGTTACTTGGTTTTTTCCTTTGTTGCTCTTAATATTCTTTATTTCTTCTGTATGTTTAGTGTTTTGTTTATTATGTGGCGAGGAGACTTTTTTTTGGTCCAGTCTATATGATGTTCTGTAAGCTTCTTGTACTTTCATTGGTATGCCCTTCTTTAGGATGGGAAAGTTTTCTTCTGTGATTTTGTTCAATATATTTTCAGTGCCTGTATCTGGATTTTGCCTTCTTCTACCCCTATTATTCTTAGATTTGGTCTTTTTTGGTGCCCCAGATTTCTTGGATATTTTGTGTTAAGAGTTTGTTGGATTTAACATTTTCTTTGATGAATCTGTTTCCTCTATTGTATCTTTGACACCTCTCTTCCATCTCTCATAGTTTGTTGAATATGCTTGCATCTGTAGTTCCTGATTGTTTGCCCACATTTTCCATTCCCAGAATTCTCTTGGTTTGTGTTTTCTTTATTGTCTTTATTTCAGTTTTCATGTCTTGAGCCATTTCCTTCCCATTTGATTTTTTGTCTTGGCTTCCTTTGCTTTCTCTAAGGGATTTGTTGATTGCTTCCAATTTTTTGTTTGTCTTTTCCTCTACTTCTTTAAGGGAATTTTTCATTTCTTCTTTAGGGAACTCTATCATCTTCATAAAATTATTTTTAAGGTGGTTTTCTTCTGCTTTGTCTGCACTGAGATATTCAGGTCTTGATGATGTTGAACCACTAGTTTTTGGTGGTGCCATTTTGCTCTTTATGTTTTTGAATGTATTCTTACAGTACCATCTGCCCATTCCTTTCTCTCCAGTGGGTATAGGTGGGGTCTCTGCTTCCGGGTGTCCCTCTTCCTCCAGTTGGTGCAGTCGGGGTCTGTAGCTTAGGTTCCTCTTCCTCCAGGCCTCTGATGGACACTGATATGGCTCTGAGGCTCCTCCAGGTGTAGGCGGGGCCAAGGCTTTGGTGTTTGCTGATGCCTTGGAGGATGATCCAAGGTGTGGGAAGGCTGCTCCCAGGTCCCTGAGTCTTTGCTGGGTGTGGGTAGGGCATGGAATGTGCCAGAATGGATTGGGGTAGGGCTGGGACTTGAGAGTAGGGTTCTCCAGCCGAGGACCCAGACACTCACCTTCTCCAGGTGTCTTCAGGGTCAAGGTTCTGGTGGTCACAGATGCTGTGGGGGATGGTTCTGGGTGTGGGAGGCTGCTCCCAGTTTTTGGGGGCTTCGCTGAGTGGGGGTAAGGCATGAGATGTGCTGTAGGGTCTAGAGCCTAGACATTAATGCCCTCCAGTCCAGAACACAGACCCTCACCTCTCCAGTGTAGGCAGAGTCCAGGCTCTGGTGGTCTCAGATGCCAAGGGGCTGTTTGGGGGTGTGGGAAGGCTGCTCCTAGGTCTCTGGGGGCTTTTCTTGGTGGGGTTGGGGCATGGGATGTTCCTCTAAGAGCTTGGGCCTAGAGAGTAGGGCCCTCCAGCTGGGGACCCAGACACTTACCTCTCCAGGTGGGGGCAGGGCCAAGGCTCTGCTGGTTGCAAATGCTATGGGGGGGTGGTTGGGTGTGTGGGGAGGCTGCTCCCAGGTCTTGCCCTAGTTCTTCTTATGCTTTTGAAATCAGTTTGATGACCAGAGTTTGGCATGTTGGAGGAGAGATTTGTGTCAAGTTCACTGAGTGTCTTGTCTCTTTCTAAGGGTCTGAAAGTACTTGGAATAAGAGCAGTGGCTGCATTGTTGCTTGTGATGTTAAAGTGTACATACTTTAACTTGATTCCTTTCTCAGGTATGAAAGACTGCAGAAAATATGCTCCATCGCCCTGGTTGGTAAATATACCAAACTCAGGGACTGCTATGCCTCTGTGTTCAAAGCACTGGAACATTCAGCCTTGGCCATCAATTACAAGTTGAATCTGATGGTGAGTTCCAGCCTGCTGTTCTAGCTATTTCTTTATTGATTTGTAGTTATTTGTATGTGTACCTATGTCTGTGTGTGCGTGTGTTCATGTGAGTGAAAGTGTATGAGGGAGGCCAGAGGCATTGGATCTCCCTGAAGCTGGAGATGCAGGTGCTTCTATGCCACTTGATATGAGTGCTGGCAACCCAGTAGTGGGTGTTCTTAACTGCTGAACCATCTCTCCAGGCCTTTTCTAGATAGTTCCATCACTCCAGTATTTTGTATTCTAAAGAGTGCTAGAGAGTTTATTTAGCATGATCAAGGCCCTGGGTTCCATCCCTAGCACTGCAAAACAAATAAACATAATTTACTGTTCTGTTGCTGTGAAGAAACACCATGGTTAAGGCAACCCCCTTTTTTTAATTGGCAGCTTGCTTATAGGTTCAGAGGGTTAGTCCATTATCATGGCAGAAGTATGACAGTAGGCAGGCAGTCTTGGTGCTGGAGAAGTAGCTGCGAGCTCCCATGTTATCCACAAGTTACAGGCAGAGAGAGGAACACTGACTGGTCCTGGCAAGGACTTCTGAAATCTCAAAGACCCCACCCCCAGTGACACATCTCCTCCAATAATACCACACTTCCTAATCCTTCTCAAACATTCCATTAACTAGGGACTAACCATTCATGTGCCTATGGGAGGCCATTCTTCTTCAAATCATCATAGTTGGGGATGTTGCTCAGTGCTGGAGTGCTTACTTAGTATGACCAAGTCCTTCCACAGCACGGCCAAACAAACACAATTTAGGAATTCCCAAAGAGGCAGATTGTGATGAAGTGCTTCTAAGTCCAACTGCTGTGTGGAAAGTTGAATAGGAAGACTGACAGGACTCAACATACAGCCATGTCTAAGATTTCTGATAGCCAGAGAATACAAAGGAACATCGGCAAGTGGATGAGTCCTATGGGGTAGAGTCTGGGGAAAGGCCAGTGCAAGCTTACCAGAGGCCTTTCCAACATGGAGTTGCATAGATTCGGCTGGAAGACCCCAGTGATAACCTGTGAAAACATGTGTAAACTACTCTTTACTGGGAAGCTCAGTAGAGATTTAGTGGCCAGGCCATTTTCTTTCCTTCTTCCTCTCCCTCTTCTGTCTCTCTCTTTCCATCTCCCTCTTCTCTCCTTACGCTTCATGATACTAGGCTTGAACCTAGGACTTTGAGCATATGAGGCAAATTCTATATCACTAAGCTATATTCCTAACCTTTTTAATTTTATATTTTGAGAAAGAGCTTTGCTAATTTGGCCAGACTGACATTGAATTCACTTGTACTTTATAAGATCTTCTGGGAAGAGAGAGGCCTCATGAGCTACTACTGAGCTAGACTAGCTCTCAGTTATTGAACAACTTTAGATAGCTGTAGTATTATTGAGTGTTTTTTTTAATGTTCCTTCAACCTGTTGGATTTTTGATGTTATTGTTTTGCTTTTTAGTACATAGACTCCATTGATCTGGAGCCAGTCATGAAAGCTGAGGACCCTATGAAATTCCATGAAGCTTGGCAGAAGCTGTGCATAGCTGAGTGAGTACCAGGAACTGTCCACATGAGGAGGACAATGTCATTGTGGTTTCTCTGTAATTATTTCTCTTGCCACAGTTGCTAAGTTTTGTGCATGTGGAGGTAGGAGTTTGGGTGGTCTTTGTGGGTGGTCTTTGTGCATTTTTCATGCAACATTGCATTCAGGTGACACGGGCAGAGGAAGTGGTTTTATTTGGAGAGGGTGGGGAGACTATATTAGAGGGAAAGAGTGCCGAAAGATGCAGTAATGCCTACTGCATATAGAAAATTAAGTATAAACAGGACCTTTCTCTGATTTTCTTTTCCATGTGTTTACTAATTTATTTTTATTTTAATTAATTAATTAATTGCTGAAAGAAGGCCTGTGTAGCCCAGGCTGGCCTGGAAATTGTATATCTTAGGGCAACCTTGAACTCCTGATCCTCTTGTCTCCACCTCCCATGTTCGGGGTTTATAGGCATGCACTATCAGGCCTTGTTTAGGGGGTGCTGGGAATGGAATCCTAGGACTATGTGTTAGACAAGGTTTCTTGAGACAAGGCTTTTTGAGACAAAATTTCTCTGTAGTTTTGGAGCCTGTCCTGGAACTAGCTCTAGTAGACCAAGCTGACCTTGAACTCACGGAGATCCACCTACCTCTGCCTCCTGAGTACTGGGATTAAAGGCCACCACCGCCCAGCCTACACAAGTACTCTTAACAACTGAGCTGTATCCCCAACCCTTCACATTTGGTTATTTGAGGTAGGCTGTTTGTGTGTAGCTCTGGCTATCCTGGAACTTTCTCTGCAGACCAGACTGGTCTCAAAGCTACATAGCTCAAACTGTTGTTTTTTAGTTTAAGTGTTTGTTCTAGCCAGGGCATTTTCATTCACTGTTACTTACTTGAAATCATAGGCTGCTTTTATCAGCTTAACTCTTTCTGATGGCATAAGACGCTGCAAGTTTTTCTATAGTAGTTAGAACCCAGCTAGGTGTGATAGTACATACCTGTAATCCCAATGCTTGGGAGAATGAGGTGCGAGGATTCATATTTAAAGTCTAGTCTTGTCTATAGAGTGAGTTTGGGGCTGGTCTGTACTCCATGAGTCCCTGTCTCAAAAATTTAACAACAAAAGGACTTTAATCCATTTTTATTTTCATTCATTTTATGTTTCTCTTTCTTTCTCCCTTTCTGCCAGCCCTCAGAAATTTTTTTGTTTTGTTTTGTTTTGTTTTTGAGACAGGGTTTCTCTGTATTTAGCCCAGGCTGTTCTGGAACTCACTCTGTAGACTAGGCTGGCCTTGAACTCACAGACCTCTGTTTGCCTCTGCCTCCTGAGTGCTGGGATTAAAGGCGCAAGCCACCATTGCCTGACTAATTCTTTTATTTTATATTCTTTTATTTATTTGTTTTTGCCTTTTGAGACAGATCTCATTATATAGTCCAGACTGGCCTAGAACTCTGATCCTCCTGCCTCAGCCTCTGGAGTGTTGGGATTATAAGTATATTTCATCACACATAGTTCTCATTGTAGTCTTTGTTTTTGTTTTTGTTTTATTGGTGCAGACTCTTGCTGTTTAGCCATAGTCAGCTAGCCTGGAACTTGCAGCAATCCTCCTGCTTCTGCCTTTTGAGTGTTGGGTTAATAGGCATGTACTACCATGACTGTCCGCATTTTTTATTGAGTAGAATTTCTCAGTTACTGTAGTCAGAAGCCACCAATACCTACCAGAAAATATATATTAAATTCAGTTGAAGAAACTGTCCCCATATGTCCCCATAAGGTAGGTTGAGCTAAAAGATGTTTAATTATGTAACCTATTCTAAAAATAGACCTCAGACCTTCACTAGTGATTATGCCAAGCATTGAGTTTGGGAACATTGATCATAACTGATGAAAACACAAGTTTTAAAAATAAAAGTAATGTGGGTTGGTGAGATGGCTTAGTAGGTAAAAGTAGTTGTTGCCAAGCCTACAATTTGAGTTCGATACTTGGCACCCACATAGCAGAAGGAGAGAGCCAACTGTTACAAGATGTCCTCTGACCTTCGCATACTCTCACTGTGCTATGTACTTGCCACATGGACCCACAGACACACTCTAATTAATTAATTAAAAGTATTGTTAAAATGATGACTAGTCAACTTTATTTTCATCTTGTGTTAATTTCAGTGGCATTCTTGTGCCTGGAGGCTTTGGACTCCGAGGAACGGTGGGAAAACTCCAGGCAATTTCTTGGGCAAGGACAAAGAAGATTCCATTTCTGGGTAAAACTTTTTGTTTATTGAGCCTATGAGTTTTAGGTATTTTTTTTTCAGTGCTAGGAATTGAACCTAGGGCTTTAAGGATACATGCAAGGCAACTCTGCCATTGAGGTATATTGCCAGCCCTTATTCAGGTTTTTGACTTAAGGTAGGTGTCATACATTAGTTGGGGAAGCATGTAATAAGGTTTGTTCTTGTGAAGGTGTGAACTTACTTTTGAAAGTCAGGCACCAAATCATTTGTTACAGGGCTTATCAAACTGAATGTGGCTCCTAGCTTGCTTTTGTAAACCGAGTTTTATTGTAACACAACCACCCAGTTTGTTTTGCATGTTGCTCATGGCTGCATAATTGAAGATTCAATAACTTGTAAAGCCTAGAATTATTACTTAGAGTTTATAGGAGACATTTCTGAATAGCAAGAAGCTGGAAAAAGGTTGTACCTGTATTTTTCTTACCAGTCCTCTTAGCACTTCCAGCAAAAAGCTGTTCCCCAGAACTCTGTAGTAAACTGTTTGGAAAAGTGCTTAAGCCAGGTGTGGGGCATATGCCTTTAATCCCAGTATTCAGGAGACAGATGCAGGTGGATCTCTGTGAGTTTGATTGAGGCCAGCCTGGTCTACAGAGTGAGTTCCAGAGCAGCCAGAGCTACAGAGAAACCTTGTCCTGAAAAAAGAAACAAACGGGTGAACACACAACAACAAAAAGAGAAAAAAAAAGTGCTTCAGTTGAAACTTTGCATGTGTATGTGAGGTACTGGGGATCAAACCCAGGACCTCGTGTGTGCTAAATAAGCACTTTTCTACTGTGCTACACCCACAGCTCTAAGTTGAAACTTACATTTATTTTAGAGAAGAAAATACAGAAAGATCAGTCAGTGCCATGGGAGTAGCTCTGTTAAAAGCTGCTTATACCAGGTCTTTTTTTCTTTCTTTCTTAAAAGAGGTGAGGTCTTACCGTCTTACTGTGTTTGTCTAGGCTGATCTTGAATCTCTTGATTCAAGCTATCCTCCTGTCTCAGCATCCCAAATACTGAATATATATACCTTCAGAGGCAGGTCTTTTGAATGCTCTTGTTTAATTTGTAAAGCCTAGTTTGTAATTTGTAAAGCCAGATGACATGGGAGCTGGATGTGCTAAAGGCAGCTCTGCTGCTGGAGATTCAGGTAGGAGGGGCTTGGAGGCCCAGTTGCCCACTTGTGTTTTAGGTATTCTGTGGCTTTATGAGCTGAAAGGAAGGTTTGCTGTCTTTTACTATCAGCAGAATGTTAGATGTTTTTTCTACTACCTGCTCTTTTTCTGGATACTCCAGAATTTTGGGACCTCTTTCCCAATAAAAACCCAGGATACTTCCTTTGCTTTATTCTGACCTAAGCTCATTTGGACTGTTGCCATTTTTTTGCTTTTTAAGATGGGGTGTTAAGGCTGGGGAGATGGCTCAGTGGGCAACAGACATCCTGATTTGATCCCCAACACTCACATTAAAAGCTTGGTATGACTGTACATGCATACAACCTTAACACTGTGTGTGGGGGTAGGGAGAAAGGAGGGTTGCTGGGGCAAGCTAGCCTAGATGAATTGACAAGCTCCAGCATCACCAAGAGACCCTGTATCAAGGGAATGAGGTAGAGATTGATAATTCAGAACTCCTGACTTCTTTCTCTGGCCTCTGTACTTGGGTACGCATTATCACCCCACATGTGTATATGTGTCATGTACACACACAAAAAAAGCATGTGTATTAGTTACTTTTCCATTGCTATGATAAAACATCATGGCCAAGCAACTTACAGAAGGAAGGGTTTATTTGGTGCTTACAGTTCCAGAGGGAGAGGAGTATATGACCATCGTGGTAGGGGGCAGGGCAGCGGGCAGGTAAGCATGGCCCTGGAGCAGTAGTTGAGAGCTCATATTTCTATCTGTAAGCAGGAAGCAAAGAGAGCTAACTCAAAATGGCAAGTCTTTTGAAAACTCATGGCCTGCCTGCAGTAATATTTCTTCCAGCAAGGCCAGATCCCTAGTCATCCCCCAAACATCCTCCAAACTGGAGACCGAATGTTCAAACTTAAGAGCCTATGGGCCATTCTCATTCAAACTATCATAGTATGTTTTAATACAGGATGTTTTTATGTAGCTCAGGCTGGCCTCAAAGTTGCTGTAAAGCCAAGGATGACCTTGAACTCTTGCTTCTCCTATCTTCACTTCCAGATAGGCACTAGTTTATGCTTTAGTGAGGAATGGAACCCGGGGTTTTGAGCAGGTTAGGCAAGCACTCCATCAACTGAGCTACAGCTCTGCCCTTGACTATTTGTTTTTTTTAAATCTCTCTGTAAAGTCAGTTTCCATTTAAGCTTCTGATGTGATTTTCATTGTATAGAATGTGTGCAAGTTGTTCTCAAGTCTCTCCTCTCATATGTGCTCTTTAGTCTTTTTTTATTTTTGTACAATTAAAGGCATGTGAGACAAAATGACCAGTAAGTGCCCTGTTTTGTTTTATCTGCATTATGTCTGTGCAGCACATGGGTACCTGGTAGTCTTTGAGGTCAGAAGAAGGCATCAGATTCCCTAGAACTAAATTTCCAGGGGTTTGTTAGCTGCCATGTGGGTGCTGGAAATCGAAACTGGCTCTTCTGGAAGAAAACAAATTCTCTCTCTCTCTCTCTCTCTCTCTCTCTTTCTGTTTTTTGAGACAGGGATTTCTGTGCTACTGAGCCATCTCTCCAGCCTCAAGTGCTCCTGTTTTATACAGTACATGCTATATCTGGTCTGTCAATAAATATAAACAGCGTATAAAGTGGCCAGTGAAATTCTTTTCACATTTCTGCTGTTTTAATTTATGTTTTCAAGCTTTGTACATGTATATAGTGTATGTTGAACCTATTTTCTCTCATATCCCCATCCTCAAGTGAGCCTTGAACTTGTGTAGCCGAGGCTGGCTTTGAACTCCCGATCTTCCTCCCTATACCTCCTATGTGCTAGGATTACAGATATGTATCTTTGCTTCATAACATCATGTCTCTTTATGTACTGACCATGTGGAACTTTGTAAAGTTCCTTGAGCGCTAAACGATTTCCTGTGTATCCCTTTAACCATGGCATGTTGGTGTATTGATGACTTCTCCCCTTGCATCTCCTGGATCACATGTCAATGTCTGTAACAGCATCTGGAATGCTTCTTGCTGTCTGTTTATAGGAGGGAGTTGATGGGCTGAAGTGAGTGTGGAGATGGGTTCAAAAGCATCAGTAATGGCAACAGGCCTGCAGTGACCCAGGCCTTTGCATTCCACTTACCTTTTTTTCAAGATTTATTTTTATTTTATGTGTCTAGGTATTTTGCCTGTATGTGTGTCTGTGTACCACATGCATGCAGTGCCCTTGGAGGCCAGAAGAGGGCTTTTCTTTCTGGAACTGAGTCACAGCCATATGTTGGTGCTGAGAACCTGCAAGAGTAATGAGCGTCCCTAACTTCTGAGCCGCCTCTCCAAACCACTTCTACCTTTTTTGAGCACCTGCTCAGTTTCATTTTGTGTCTCCTAGCCTGCTTTCTGCCATAGCACTGGTGCCAGCCCCTGCTGCTCCTTTTCTCTTTGAGATTAGCAGTTCCACCTCAGATTAGGAGGTCACCCTCAGATTGGCCAACCTCAGGTTGCCATGTGGCCAAGGCCATGTTTTGGATGTGAAATCTTGAGAGGTGGGAATGTGAAATCTCAGCTCAAGGAGACTCCTCTTGAGTTGGGGTGCTGTTAGACTTGCTCTGAGAGACTCAAGGTCTTTGAAACAGCTCTGCAGCCCCATAGGTGCCTTGGTTCAAGAATAGCTGTGGCAGACGGCGGATTTGGCTTCTGGGAGCTGGTCCTCATCTGCCCTCCAGTTGCTTCTTGCTCACCTCTGCACCTTAGGTTGCTCCTTTAGTTTTGACTACTATCACTCACTACTCTTCCAGGAACTATTCTGGGTGCTAAGGGGGGATCACAGGGAACTAAGCAGGAAGTCTTCCTCTTGAGGTCTTCATTCTTAGAGACTTCAGGAAACAGTTGAACACAAAATGTCACTAGATACAAAACATGCTCATGTGCTTCTCCTAATAGGAATTTGCCTTGGGATGCAACTGGCTGTGATTGAGTTTGCAAGAAACTGCCTGAATTTGGAAGGTAAGTCAAAGGTTTACTAAGCAGTGTTTATTTAAAACAAGAACATGTGTCAGCAATATTGGTAAATCACTAAATGTCTTTGTCTTTAGATGCTAATTCTACAGAATTCGAGCCAAACACTCCAGTTCCATTGGTAAGTGGCTTGTAGATCTTTCTGGGTCCAGTCATTGTCATTCTGTTTCATTTCTTGCCTAGCTCCGTAACAGGTAATTACTGTCTTCTCCTAACAGTGCCAGAACTTTACACATTATATATGAATTTATTATTTCCTATTGTTTTTGCTTCCAACTGCTTTGTTCTCACTAGTCTATCTTGCCAGCTGTGCCTTGAAGAAACACAGCTCTGCCTGACTTGTCTTTGCGGCAGCTTTCAAGCTTAATGTTTAGGAAAGGAATAAATTGAGTGTGACACCAATTTATAAGAGCTAATATAAATAAATGAGCTGTCCCTTCTCTAGTCTTGTCCCCAGTCTGCCTATTTTCCACATTGGTGGCCATCTATTCTTCTAAAAAATGGCAACTGCTAGTCCTCACCTGCCAGTTCCTTTCCCCCCAGGATACTCACTCAGTCATGGGGCTAGAGAGATGACTCACTGGCTAAGAGTGCTTGCAACTTTTCCAGAGGATCCAAGTTTGGTTCCCAGTACCCGCATTAGGCAGCTCATAGCCACCCATAGCTCCAGTTCTAGGAATCTGACACTGTCTTTTTGCCTTTGTTGGCATCTATGTATGTGTGCACACAAATAATAAAGAAATGGTTGTGTTGTTGTTTCTTTGAGACAGGGTGTCATTCTTTAGTCTTGTCTGTCCTTGAATTTAGAGATCCACCTACCTCTGTCTTTCAAGTGCTGGGATTAAATGCAGGTGCCACCATGCCTGAGTATAAGTATTTTTTTTTTAAGTCAGGATCCTTTGCCAAGCCGGAAGGTGCTCACATTTCATCACTTGCTGCTTTATTCATTTGTATCACGCCATTTCAATTCCTCCCACACTTAGGGGTTCCAGTGTGGACAGTCGGAAGTAGTATTTCTCAGTTTTCCCGTGGAGATTCCCTATACCTTATATGGCCCTCTTATGATCTTCCTCCTGGAGCCTTAACAAAACCAATGAAGAATTGAACCACTTGTTCTAGAAATGCTTTATTTCTGTGCCTTCGAGTTCTTTCCACACTCATTAGTGATTCTTGTCTTTCATGCTTGTCCATGGCCTTTGGCTTTCCTGGTCATGCTTGTCCATGGCCTTTGGCTTTCCTGGTCATCAGTTGCCTATATGTGTGTATTTAGTGACATTCTTGCTGCCAAGCATCTCTATCTAATAATCAGCGGCCTTCATATAATGCTTCTACTCTCCTTGGTTGGTTTTTCACTTTTACTTGTGTGTGTGTGTGTGTGTGTGTGTGTGTGTGTGTGTATCATATGGACTGTTTGCAGTAATTGGTTTTCTTATGCTATGTGTTCTGGGGAATGAACTCAGCTTGTTAGGCTTGTGTGGCAGGCATTTTTAACCCACTGAGCCATCTTATAGGCCTTTCTTTTGTTTTAGATGTGGTCTCACCATAATCTAGGCTTACCTAGCATTCATTGTGTAGCCCAGGCTGGCCCCCATACTCACAGCAATTCTCTAACCCTAGTCTCTCAAGTGTTGGGGTCACAGGTAGTAACTGCCATGCCTGTTTCTCTTTGTGGTTTTTTAAAGAATTTATTTATTTTGTGTGTATTTGTACACTCTTGAGCACATATGTGTGGATTCACGTGCCACAGCATGTATGTGGAGGTCAGAGAACAACTTGCAGGAGTTGGTTCTTCTGTGTAGATCCTAGGGATCAAACTCAGGCTGTTGAGCTTAGGACTGGTGCCCTTACCTGCTGAGCCATTTGCCAATCATTATTACTACTAACATCTTACAAATTTTGGCCATTTGAAGCTCTCATTCAATGTGCTTTAGCGTTTTTACAGATCTGTGTCACTATCATGGCAGTCAATTTTGGATCACTTTATTTCTTAAAAAAATTCCAAGGCTTGGAATGTAGTTCAGTTGGTAAAGTGTTTTTCAGTATATACAAAACCCTGAGTTCCATCCTCAGCACTGTAAACTGGGGCATATTTTTATTTGTTATATGTGAGGTGCTAGATGTCATTAGTCCTGTACTCAGTTATGACACTAAAATTTCCTCGAGATATTACCAAATGGTGGGAGGGTGGTCAGAACTGTCTCCACTAAGAATCAATGACAGCTCAGCAATTAAGAATGTGCGCTGCAGATGGGCATGGTGGCTCATGCCTTTAATCCTAGCACTTAGCGGCAAAGGCAGGCTATCTCTGTGAGTTGAGGCTAGCCTGCTCTATATAGTAGTGAGTTCCAGAACAGTGAGGACTACACAGAGATACCCTGTTAAGAAAATGTGTACCGCTCTTGCAGAGGACCTGAGTTTTGAATCTCAGCACTCATAGTAGGCAGCTCACAACTGTCTGTAACTTCAGCTCCAGGGTATCCAGTGCCTCTGACCTGCACTTGTGTACGTATCTACACACAGATGCATAATTAAAGAGAAAGTAGTCATTGGCTTGAGAAATCTAGTTCTATTATTATTTTTTATACTAGTTAGTCATCCTTATGACATAAGTAATATTCCATCTTAACAGCTTAAGGGAGGAGTGTTTGTTTTTTAAATTGAGATGGGCTATCAAGGAACCCTATGATAACTTGGACTTCTGATTCTTTGCCGTTACCTCCCAATTTCCGGGATTCCAGGTGTACACTGTCACTTCTGGTTTATGTAGTGTTGGGGATGGAATCCCAGGACATTGTGAATGCTAGGGAAGCACTCAACCAACTTAACTACTTCCTGAGCCTTGAATGGTTTCATTTGCCTCAGTTTGAGGAGATATAGGCCATCGGAATAGAGAAGGCATAGTGGTGGGACTGGTTCCTGTCCATGTTGGTGGGAACATGAGGAACATGCTGTAGGCAGACACCAAGTGTAGAGCAAAGCTGGCCTGTTAACCTTCATCATTCCTAAACAGCCCAACATTTATCTGCCAACTAAACCCCTCGTCCAAAGGCTTCCTCAGCTTCCCTAAACAGCACTACAGCTGGGGAGTAACTGTTTGAACACAGGGCCCAGGAGGGTGCACTTCATACTTGTATAACAACACTCCTCCACCTTCCCGTATAGCAATTATTTGTTATTTTTTCTTGATTTATTCCATTGAACAAAATGACATTTTATTTGAGTGCATGTGTGTGCATGTGTCTAGGCACGTATGTCACAGTTTGCATATAGTGCTGGCGACAACTTTTGTGGGATTTGGTTCTCTTCTTCTACCATATAGGTCTTGTAGAGGTCTTGGGGGTCGAACTCTGATCGTTATCTTGGTGACAAGTATCCTTATCCACTGGGCCATCTTGTCAGCCCCATTTTACCATTTAAAAAAATATCAATAGGGACTGGAGAGATGACTTTGCAGTTATGAGCACGTGTTCTTGCAAAGGACCTGGGGTCAGGTCCTAGCACTCACATGGAAGTTCATAATCATCTATAACTCTAGTTCTAGGGAATTTGAACTCTCTTCTGGCCTCTGTGGGTCCTGCATGACCATGGTACACTTACAAACATGCAAACAAAACACACACACACACACATATCTTGAAATTAATTAAAAATAAAAACAAATGTGTATGTCCATCTGTAACTTATCCCCTTTTTAGTTACATCATAGCATATTCTTCTCATTAATTTTCTGATTTGGTTTTTTTCACCCCATGGAAAGGTAAAGAAATATTCATGCCTTTTTATAGCTTTCAGTTCAAACCATAATGAACCGTCACTTCCCAGCCAGATGGCACTTTTAAGCCTAATTCTCAGAAGGCCTCATATCAGCAAAGAGTTCCTTAGGAGGCTTTAATAGAAATGTATTTCCCGAGTAATAGCTGCAATGGCTCTGCCAGGAAAATGATGGGTTTTCTTTTTCAGGAGATACATTGGGATAGGAAGGGCTTTTACCAGTAGGTGTCGCTATTAGACAGCTTGTCTAGGTTAGGTCTTTGATGCCTATGCTTGCTCTGTATGTGTGTACGAAGAAATATTGATACACAGGATAAAGTTAAATCTGCAGAGAAGGTATAAAATGACTTCATTCGCCTTATTTTGTCTTACTTCTCTTCCAAAGTAGCAACTACATTCATTTTTTTTGCTGTTGTTATTAATTCAGGGACACATGCATGCATATGTGTGATAGTGTATGTGTGTGTATGTGTGTGACAGAGAGAGAGAGAGAGAGAGAGAGAGAGAGAGAGAGAGACTATACATGTACGTATGTGTGGATGAATGTATAGACTTTTGAGGGGCAGGCAGTGCAATGAATGGGAATTCAAGGCACCATGAATACTAGCTTAGTGTCCTATCCTACCACTGGACCACACCCACAGCCACTTTAGCTAGCATGCTTGAGACATTGTCCCCACCTTACACTGATTACCTATCATTGTGTAAGAACCTTTTACAGCTTGCCTAGCTGTGTGCACTATGGGCATGACAGTATTTATTGCATTTATGGTATTGTGTTTATAGTCTTGTATTTAGCTTTTACTCTTTGTTAACCTTAAATCACTCTACAATTTGACCTCCACGTACAATATGTTCTTTACCCACACCTAAGCACATCTGTGGGATGAATCCATAGACGGGAAACTGCTAAGTCAGAGGATGTGTTCATTTTACATTTCAGTGGCTCCTATACACATAAGTGAGATGAAAACAATAAAACCTAATTGCTATTGAATGTCTTTATGTGCTGAGATCACTTTGCTGGAGAAAAATAGCCTTAAGAGCCAGCAGTTGTGCTGATGGCTGAAAGTCTTATTAAAGAAAAAGACTAAGGGGAATGGAATCATAAGGCAGCCAGCACCACAATGCCTGAGGAGTGACTTGACTTGGGCAGACAGCAATTACTTAGTAGGTACGGTTGTTCCTTCTCTTCTAGCTAAAGAAAGTAAACCAGGAAACTCTTTTAGGATATGTCTACTGCTAAAATTTGTTTCATTTCTTTAGTTGTCATTCCCCCTGCCCTTTTTTGGCATGCAAGGTAAGTATTATGGTTGCTTACAAAATCAATGGAGACACTTTTATTCAGAA